CCAAGGACGGAGCCAAGGGGGGACCTACGGGTGCCACGGCCCCCCCAACAATTTTAATTTTTTTTTATATACATATATATTACTATATGGCACCCCCTATTTTTAATATAAACTCATATTTTTAATATAAACTCATATGTATATTACTATATGGCACCCCCTATATGGCACCCCCAGTATTGAAATCCTGGCTCCGTCCCTGCCGACTTCCTAATACTAACCTCTGATAAAGAGACGTATAAAAAATAAAATTATATTTTTAATAATTAAAGATTACAATATTGAAATTATTTTTGAAAATCTTAATATTTTTGAGGTTCATAAAATTTACAAATGAGTAATTATAAATTCCTAAACCTTAAATTTAAAAAGACAGATTACATTTTTGAATGTTCTGATTTTAGTGGTTTCCTTAAACGTATATATATATATAATCTTATTGACAAATGTATTAAAACACACTAAATAATAAATATTTTATTATAAATTATAATTAAGTTTCATTAGAAAATATAACGGAAGGGAAAAGTCTTTGAATTGAATATAAGAGAATGAATCCTTTAGCATTAAATCTTTACTCAGTTTCTTTCTTGAAAAAATTTTCACCATCAAAATCTCATCTTATTCTTTAAAGCTTTATTTAGATTTTCTCTACTCTATTTTTAATTAAAGGTCAATATTTTATTAAACAAAAATTACACTTAAAAGAATCTAAACTCTTAACAATAAAGTACTCTCAACATTGATTATCATATTTAAAGACACTAAACAAACGAAATTAAGTAAATAAAAAACATACATAAATCTAGGAATTTAATGCCAAAATAACATTTTCTTTTATTAAAAGTTAACGTGGATATCACTTACCTTTTTTTCTATATTTTTTATGATTAAGAAAACCCAAATATTAGGTAATCTCTCTCTTAGAATACAATCAATGCACATATTATTTCTACTTACTTGAAAGTCAAAGTATATTTTATAAGTCTCTCCCCTTATTTAAAAGGCCTCTATAACGTACTATCTTGATAAGTACAAAAATCAATTCTTTAATTAATAATTTTTAAGAAACTTGCTAGTTGTTGGTATTTTCCATAAAACTATTAAAATAGAATAAAATTACCACTCATAATTGGCAGTTAAAAACGAGTGACTATAGACACTCAAATTTTACAAACATCCAACTGACATCATGTATTTTTCACTGTCCCCTTTTTTTTTCTTTTTTCTTTTTTTACATTATATCGCCAATCATTTTGCAATCACATTAATTACCCGTATGTTTATTCTTTCGATCCCTCTCAATATGTCACTGCAGCTTAAAGACGATCTATCTCAATATATGTCTACTATGTCTTAAAGACGTTAAAAAGTTTTTTTCTTTTCTTAAAATAATATAAAAGGGAGAACGAAAATATAGAAATGAATAAAAATGGATAGTGTGTTGTTATACTTATATCACGTCAACTTAACTAATTAAATTGTGATACATTAATTATTCATATTTTATCCAATTTCTTATTTGATATTTTATCTCTCATTTTACTTGTCGTCTAAGACTTTTATCATCACTTTTCTATTGAAAAAAACCAACGTGGTTATCAAAATATTTATTTTTAAAATTAATCACATACTCATACATCACCAATAAGGAACACAACAGAATAATCAGAAGGTAAAATAGAAAATATTTATATTTTACCCGTTTTCTTACAGGGTTTCCCGTAAGAACCCACATAGCACTCTAATTCATATAAAAATATATTAATTTTTAAAATTAATCACATACTCAATCGCTACAACTATAGATTCTAGAAACTCCATTAACCGTAAACTCTCGACAAATCAATCTCTCACCCAAATCTAAGGTCCCAATAATTTCTAGTTGATTAGAACAATATCTTATCTACTACTACTCACACATATGCTTGCAACACAAGCGATACCACCCAACCACTATTTCTTACGTAAGCAAGAAGTATCAAACAATTCAACACTCATAAGAATGAAGAATAGTAGTCATAATGATATTAGCTAACACTATCTATCATTCCTCTAATTACACTATAATCTAACAGTATAAAACTCTACAATATCAGCACAAGGAGAACATCATCATCATCATTATCAAAGAAAATCATCATCAAAGTATACAACAAACAAGACACTGTCAGAGTACACAACAGAATCATGATAAGTACATAACTCACGGCCGATTGGATCGACCTGCTCTGATACCACTTAATGTGACACCCTCTATCCTGCATACCATAACACATAATAATAAGATTTGAATAACATAACATCTCATAATTAAAATATCAAACGTGTTCAGATAGAGAGTACCACATCCATAACTTAAACAAAATCAGCGGAAATTACAAAGAAATAAAACTAAAGTTTCCAAAATAATTTAATAAAAACATCTTAATCTAATCCTATCTACGCCCGATGTCACATGTCCTAT